TCACATTGAATACAAAACGACTTCAGGGTTTTGGCTACCAGCAGCTCAACACTGACCCTTGGCCCTGAGCCACCAGTGTGGACCTGTGTCCATCTGTGTTTTGGCTGTGGTGCCACCTCTTGTCTTGAGGGTGGCAGGTGTGCTAGCAGGTGTCCTTTACCCTGTGCCCGCCTGTGCCCCAGCCTCTGGCATCCAGGGCAATAGCTGCCATCGCTGCATGCTCTGAGCCATGTGCCAGGCAGTCCTTCGAGGATGGCTTTCAAAACTGAACACCAATGGGCCTTCCAATCAACGTCCTCTCTTGTCTCCCATGGTGACATGGTGCCCTGCCAGTCAGTATTAAGCTGTGCCTGATGAGGGAGGAATGTTTCTTGCAGGAGTGAGACTGCTCTTCTTTCCTTGTGCACAGACCCCTTGCCTACCCTCCCTGCTATTGGCGGCGTGTGGAAGGCAGAGATTCAGTCAAAATCAAAAGTGCTTCCATTGTAGGAATGCAGTGGTTACCAGCTCAAGAGGCCAAAAGAAGATGCGGCTGGATGGTGGGTGGTTCGATGTTTATATAAAATTCTGAATGGGCCGGGCGCGGTGGCTCAAGCCTGTAATCCCAGCACTTTGGGAGGCCGAGGCGGGTGGATCATGAGGTCAAGAGATCGAGACCATCCTGGTCAACATGGTGAAACCCCGTCTCTACTAAAAATACAAAAAATTAGCTGGGCATGGTGGCGCGTGCCTGTAATCCCAGCTACTCAGGAGGCTGAGGCAGGAGAATTGCCTAAACCCAGGAGGCGGAGGTTGCGGTGAGCCGAGATCGCGCCATTGCACTCCAGCCTGGGTAACAAGAGCGAAACTCCGTCCCCAAAAAAAAATAAATAAATGAAAATAAAATAAAATAAAATTCTGAATGGTAAACAACAGAGTCAGAAAACGAATACCGTAGAGGCTCACAGTTCCCTGCATCCTCTGGGGAACGCTTGCATCCATGAAGCACAGTAACAACCTTTGAGTCACAGGAAGCCAGGGTGGATGGATGGTGTGGCGGCACGAGGAATAATTCAACCAGCGTTACAAACATACTGTCAGGGAACTGCAGAGGCAAGAAGGCCTACAGCGCGTAATGCGAGCAGGCTCTGAAGAGCTGCCTTGTGGTGAATTACAACACTGCTGCTGTGTTCTCGGTGAGAGACACAATTAGCCAGGAACGGCGCATTGGACAATAAAATGCATGAAGAGATGGCTCCTGGGTTTGAACAGAAAGGCCTGATGTTGCTTAGATGCTACAAAGAATCATCACAGGCACCAGAAGGAAAATAAACAATAGGCAAATGACTCTTCTGTACCAATCCTCATTAATAACTCTGGACCTCATATATGAGTCCATTCATTTCAACATCTTTTTTTTTTTTTTTTTTCCGAGACAGGAGCTCACCTGGAGTGCAGAAGTGTAGTGGTGCGACCACAGCTCTCGGTAACTTCCACCTCCAGGGCTCCAGCGATCCTCCTACCTTGGCCTCCTGAGTAGCTGGGACTACAGATGTATACTACCGCTCCTAGCTAATTTTTGTATATTTTTTGGTCGAGACAGGGTTTTGCCATGTCACCCAGGCTGGTCTTGAACTCCTGGGCTCTAGCAATCTGCCTGCCTTGGCCTCTCAAAGTGCTGAGATTACAGATGTCAGCCACTGTGCCGAGCCTCAAAACAATTTTTTTGAGATGGAGTCTTGCACTATCACCCAGGCTGGAGTACAGTGGCACAATCTCGGCTCACTGCAACTTCTGCCTCCCGGGTTCAAGCGATTCTTCTGCTTCAGCCTCCCAAGTAGCTGGGATTACAGGTGTGTACCACCATGCCTGGATAATTTCTGTATTTTTAGTAGAGATGGGGTTTCGCCATGTTGGCCAGGCTGGTCTCTAACTCCTGACCTCCGATGATCTTCCCGTCTCAGCCTCCCAAAGTGCTGGGATCACAGGCGTGAGCCACTGCTCCTGGCCAAAATATATTTATTAATCAAATTATTTTATAGACAGGGGCCCTGCAGTCCTCAGAAGGAGTATATCTTGGCTTATGCAGCAAGAACGTGTATTGCTTCTGATTTCTTAGCTGTACAATGATTTGTTCCCATTTCAGAGGAAGTCATTGGCCACAGGACAGTTTTTGCCTCGAGTGCTAATGGATGATGTGGTGAAATTCAGTGGTAAGGTGGATTGCTCTGGCAGATCGGAACAGGCAGATTCTAAGACCACAATATTAAGCTTATTGGGTGTTCTTCCTGTGACGTTTATTAAAAATGGAAAAGAGACGAGGTCTTTCTTATTTTAGGTCATGATGGGTTAAGGCACCACATTATTAGGCTGTGTTCTCCCTGTGAAGAGAGTTAGATCCTTAGTCATGCCCAGGAACCTTCTAGACCTGAGCACTTTAAGTGTCTTTCCTGGCAGCAGTGCCTTTGGCCTGGGGAAAAACAAACAAACAAAAACAGCCAGAGAAAGCTGCTGAAAGAATCTGTGCTAGCTCTGATATTCCGTTGGAATCGGCATCTTTGATTCCTGGACTCACTACCCCTGCATCCTCAGTCTCTTTCTGGCTCTTTTATTTCTGGAAAAATGTTTCCATGATGCTGTCGTTAGCATCCTGACCTTGTACTTACCAATACAAGGCGCTAACCTTTCTCGAGGATTTATTTATTTATTTAGAGTCAAGGTCTGACTCTGTTGCCGAAGCTGGGGTGAAGTGACATGACCACGGTTCACTTCAACCTCCACCCCTCCCAGCTCAAATGATCCTCCCACCTCAGCCTCCCGTGTAGCCGGGACTACAGGCATGTGCACATGCCATCATGCTCTGCTCACATCTTATTTTTTTTTGTAGAGACAGGGTCTCACTATATTGTCCAGGCTGATCTTGAACTCCTGGGCTCAAGTGATCCTCCCACCTCAGCATCCCGAAGTGTTGGGAATACAGGCATGAGCCACCATGCTCAGCCCCTCTTAAGATTTCAAATGTGCCAGCCACTGTTCTAAGTCTGTCATGAGTTATACTTCTTAAATTGCATAGATATAAGGGTTAAATATTATAATTATTCCTACTAACAGATGAAGTCCCCAATCAGAAGTCAAGGTTTCATGGCTAGTGACAGAAATGCAAGACAGTGTGATGACAGAGCCTGCTTTGCGTGTGTGTGTGTGTGTGTGTGTGTGTGTGTGTGTGTGTGTGTGACAGAGAGAGAGAGAGAGAGAGACAGACAGAGTCTCACTCTCACCCAGGGCTGGAGTACAGTGATGCTGCCTCACTCACTGAACATCCGCCTCCCAGGTTCAAGTGATTTCCCTGCCTCAGCCTCCCGAGCAGCTGGGATTACAGGTGTGTACCACCACACCCGGCTACATTTTATATTTTTTGTAGAGACAGGGTTTTGCCATGTTGGCCAGGCTGGTCTCGAACTCCTGACCTCAGGTGATCCACCCACCTCGGCCTCCCAAGTACTGGATTACAGGCATGAGCCACCGTCCCTGCCCAGAGCCTGCTTTCACAGATGCTCTGCAATACTGGTAGAGCAAGAGCTTGTGACATGAAGAATTCATTTCTTTCCTATGTATAGTAACATGGACAGACTTGTTCCTGCTAGACCCTATTCTTGGATGGCGGTGTCTCGTTGTGGAAAAGCAATTTTTATCATGATGTGTGTAACCCAAATGCTGCCAATCCTCACCAGCCTGTGGCTACAAAGAAGGCACGACAACATCAGTAAGTCCAGTTCTTGTTCCTGCTCCCACCGGCTGAGGCGGGGCCTCTTGCCCACCTGCAAACGTGCACATGAGTATTTCCATTCAAACCTGAGATTCTCGCAGGTGCCAACAGCTTACTGTCAGCACCCCCGCTCCGTGCTGCTGCAGTCTACTCCCGTCCAGTTTGTAGCAGCTACCCCTGGGCCCTTTGCATGTCCTTGCAAGAGTCTCTCACTATTGACCTTGCTGAATGAAGGTGCTTTCTCGATGACGGTTACGGCCATGCTAAGGGTGCTTTCTCCCAGTAATCCCGAATGCAACTATCCTCCAGACAGGAGCCATGTCAGGTTCCACAGAGCTAGCAGTAGGTTCGATAACTCTCTCCTCAAAATTGTGTGTCAACCTCTCAGCATCCCAGCACTTTGATGCTGGGATCCACCATGTCGCCGAGTTTCTCATGAAATCCATTTCTGCAGCTCTCGCTCCTCCTTCGTGGGGCTTCCAAACCAGCCCAAGGGGTAAGGAGGGAGACAGCACCCCGTTCTTTCCACTGTCCTGATTGCATCCCATCTCTCCTTTCTGGCCCCCAAATATTCCTCCCTCCACCCACCTATGCATATCAATTCATGCACACAGATGCAGAGGAGTAAACGTCACCCAGATAAAAGCCAAACTGTTATTCTTGGTTTGGGTGCAGCCGGGACACCCTGATCCATGATTTCTGCAAATTGGATGGGAAAGTTTGTCTTCTAAAGCTGCCTGGGAGAGGTGGGAAATTAACTCCATCGTCAGAGCCTCAGAGAAAACATAGAGCCAGCATCCTCCTTAGCCCTTCCAAGCAGGTAGCTGAAGAAACTTTAATTTGAACCATTATCACAGATTGAAAACTGAATAGATTGAATTCTGTTTTGAATTTTTTACTGTCTCAAAACTCACCTTTAGGCTGAAGAACAAAATGACAAAAATGACATATGAAGATCATTGAAAAGGAAAAACCTTTGTCTCACTATATTGTCTAGGCTGATCATGAACTCCTGGGCTCAAGTGATCCTCCCACCTCAGCCTCCCAAAGTGTTAGGAATATAGGTATGAGCCACCATGTGCAGCCCTTCTTGAGATTTCGAATGTGTCAGCCACTGTTCTAAGTCTGTCATGAGTTATACTTGTTAAATCACATAGATCTAAGATCTAAACCAAATCCAAATAATAAAATTAAAATGCAACTTCCCATTATGCAGCACGCATCTACCTTAAAGCGAGGGCCTGTTCATACTTACAGACACCCCACGCTGGGTTAGAAGCAGTTTCACTTCATCGGTTGCTCCCCCCGGGGTCTTCTCGCTGTGGAAAGCAGAAGTTCATGGGATTAAAATAAATCTCCTTGTGTATGCAAGAGTAACAGTGCCAGCCGACAGCCTCTTCCTGTTACTCCACTTCTTCAATTCTAAATTTGGCCGCTTCCACCCTGACTTTCCGGTTTTTTGTTTTTGTTTTTGTGTTTTGTTTTTTCTTTTTGAGATGGAGTCTTGTTCTGTTGTCAGACTGGAGAGCAGGAGTGCGATCTTGCGATCTTGGCTCCCTGCAACCTCTGCATCCTACGATCAAGCCATTCCCCTGCCTCCGTCACCTGAGTAATTGGGACTATGGGCACCTGCCACCATGCCTGGCTAATTTTTTACATTTTAGTAGAGATGGGGTTTCACCATGTTGGCCAGAATGGTCTCGATCTCCTGACCTCATGATTCTCTCGCCTCAGCCTCCCTAAAGTGCTGGGATTATAGGCGTGAGCTGCTGTGCCCGGCCAGCACCCCGGCTTTCTATACACTCTCTTAGGAACCCCGACTTGGGTTGGGGGGACACCATGAAGTGTTTGCCAAAGCATCCGGGTCACTTTCTGTGTTGTAAATTCTGTAACAAATTCTGGAAGGAGGCCTTGTGTCAGAGAAAGAACCTGCTGGGAAGGTCTGACCTTCTCCACAACTCACCTTCACCAGGGCACCTGCTACCTTGAGTCAGTCCCCTCCGAGGGCAGAACCACAAGTCTCATGGGATTGAAATGCAAAGAGAAAGCCACCCTGGTTTTCTATGGTTGGTTCTGATTTTTCTTTCTTCTTGCTCTTCATCACCTCCTAAAGGTGCAGAAAGGGGCCATTTTTCTGGCCTACTTAATTCTCACTCCTGTCCCTAATCAGAAACAACAGAAAATTGCTGAAAGCTCTACTCGAGCTAAAACCAGGCTTCAGCATTCACTTCACCTGAGTGATGTCAGAAATGCGGACTTTCAGGCTCCATCCAGGCCTGCCGATGCAGAAGCTGCATTTTAGCAAGATCCTGGCTGGATTTCATGCACAGTAAAGATTGAGAAAGAAGGCTTTAAAAACAAACTGAGCAATACAACCTTTTTTTTGGGATGTGGGGAGTTCAATAGCAGAGTAAAGTGACCAAAGTTAACAACAACGTGTTGTATATTTCAAAGTAGCTAGAAGAGAGAACATGAAATGTTCCCCAGCACATAGAAATGATACTCGGGGTGATGGAGACCCCAAATGCCCTGACTTGATCATTACACATTTGATACATATAACAAAATAGCACATGCACTCCATAAATATGTAAAATATCATATATTCTTTTTCTAAAAAAATGAATTGAGGGCCTTAAAAAGGAACAGAATAATGGCATTTGCAGCAACCTGGATGGAATTGGAGACCATTATTCTAGGTGAAGCAACTCAGGAGTGGAAAACCAAGTATGGTATGTTCTCACTTACAAATGGGAGCTAAGTTATGAGGATGCAAAGGCATAAGAATAGTACAATGGACTTTCGGACCTCAGGGGAAAGGGCGGGATGGGGGTGAGGAATAATAGACTAGAAATTGGGTACAGTGCACCCTGCTTGGGTGATGAGGGCGCCAAAATTTCAGAAACTAAAGAACTTATGCGTGTAACCAAACACCGTCTGTTCCCCCAAAACCTATTCAAATTTTAAAAAAATTACTTTCCTAAAATAAAGGATATTTTTTTCAAGAAGTGGCTTTTCCATCTTGCGGCCCTTTGATTGTGATAGCTCTGAAAGCTTTGGAAAGCTTGCAAATACCCGAATTCAGGTATAAATCACCTCCGAGTCCCTCACCCTGACTTGAGCATTACACATTTGGGTAAGGAAGGCAGGGTACTTCCTGTAACTCTAGGACTTCCCAGTCGGAAGCAGGGCTTCTTAAACGGGACTGAGGACACTCTTAACATCACTCAAGTTCTCTACAAAATTCTTAAGTTTTGTGTTTCCATCTCTAAAGATAATCAAAATAATTGATATGATCAAAAACCAAAAATCAACAAAAAAATGGAACTGAGTCTCTTGACTGTGAGCCCTTGTGTAAAATTTTGGGTCGCAGCGCCACCTTGCGGTCACTTTAGTATTTTTCGCTGAGCTTTGCAGCGGACGAGCGGCGTGAGACAGAACAGCAATCAGTTCACTCCTCCCTCGAGGAAACAGACCGCCTTTGAGCTAGTGCGCAGAGGTCTCCGACTGCGACCTCTCTGGGCCACACTGTCAATTGAAGAGATACGGGCCCTCTTCCAAGGACGCCTTCTATCCAAGCTTAGAAGAATGGCTCATAGGCTAAGGCACTTTCTGCATCAGCGACAGCAACAGAGCTCAAAGAATGTCTGCTCCCCTCACAAGATTGTTCACAGACTTTATAAAGCCATTAAAGCTCAGAGGCACAAAGCATGGCTTCAAAGATCATCTAGATGAGTGAGCCCCACCTTTCAAGAATGAGGATCGCTTTATGATAATGGTTGGTATTTACTGCGTATATATATCCGAGACAGAATCCTACTCTGTCGCCCAGGCTGGAGTGCAGTTGCAGTGGCGAGATCTTGACCCACTGCAACCTCGACCTCCCGAGTTCAAGTGATTCTTCTGCCTCAGCCTCCTGAGTAGCTGGGGCTACAGGTGCGCCACCACGGCCAGCTAATTCTTGTTTTTTGTTTTCGTTTTTTTTTAGCAGAGACAGGGTTTCATCATGTTGACCAGGATGGTCTCGATTTCTTGACCTCATGATCTGCTCACCTCAGTCTCCCAAAGTGCTGGGATTACAGGTATGAGCCACCGTGCCCGGGCTTTACTGCATATTTACTGTGTCCCAAGCACTGTTCTAAGCACCTCCACACACATAGTCATTTGAACCTTAGAACAACCTGAGATCAAAATAGTGACCTCTATTTTGCAGACTCCCGTGTGGCAGTCATTTTGTTTGTAGTATTTGTTGGTTAGGAAAATCTACACTAAGAAGAAACTATTACCATGAATTTAGTAACTCTTGAAAATGAATTTGCATTGAATTAAATCCAGTAACACCCAATAACATCTACAGATATTCAAGGAAGGGTAGTAGAGGGATATCAATTATGTTATCTACCGAGCCTCAGACCGTGGTTGTGGCATAGATAGACTTGGGGTCTCGTGAAACAGCTCCAAAGCTCTCCAAGGTATTCTTAGCCCGCAATCTGGGAAGCCCCGGTGTAGAAGCACACCCTGCGTGCTTTATAGATGACACACCATACAATCCTGAACACACCTGATTTTATCTGGTCTCTGATGACTAGTGGGATCAGGCTACCTTGGCCTTGGATGGGAGATTGTGGGGAAGTTGCAGATAAGGAAACTGACTTCAGAAAGTATTACAGTTGTTCTTCTAGCTTGAAAAAGCTACGCTATAGAGAAAAAGAGTCCGTGGGCAGTGTCTCCTTTTCATTCTTCAACCTATACAACCTAGGAAGGTTAATTTTCCTAAAACACAGTTCTATTTGGGTGATTTTCCCCCTCAAAATGATCCCCAGCTCTGCCTGGCTGCTTATGTAACGTCAAGCCACCTTCGTCTCCAAAGCAATTTGGTGTCCAAATTGAATACCAATCAACTTGTTTGCTGCTACTCGGTGGACGTCCCTTATGCTCCGCCCAGACTCTGTGTGTGGCAAGAAGAGTGCTGGCCTTGGAGAAGACTTGGAGGGAAGCCACCTCGTGCTTGGGAAGTAGCATCTGCATTGTCACCAGGAGTGCGGGGTTAGGTCCTATCCAGACACAGGAAGGCAGTTCTGGCGAGCCACAGCGTTGGAGGGCCTTCTCTCAGGACCGAGCGCGAGTTCACTGTGAGAAATACGGCCATTGAGGTGGCCAGGCCAGTGCACATGCGGGCGGCGTTCTCTCCTGGAGGCCCTCACGGGACGAAATGGCATCATCAGAAGGCTGCTTGGTCAGCATGTGTCCTGGCCATTTCCGGTTTCTGGCTGTCTAGTGTCAATCTCTTCTTCTGAAAAGTACACCATTTCCTTTCTTTTTTTGCGGGGGGCGGGAGTTGGCGTCTCACTCTGTCACCCAGGCAGGAGTGCAGTGGCGCGATCTTGGCTCACTGCGGCCTCTGTCTCCCGAGTTCAAGTGATTCTCTTGCCTTAGGCTCCTGAATAGCTGGGATTACAGGCGCACGCCACCATGTCCCACTAAGTTTTGTATTTTTAGTACGTACAGGGTTTCACCATGTTGGCCAGGCTGGTCCTAAACTCCTGACCTCAAGTGATCCACTTGCCTCATCCTCCCAAAGTGCTGGGATTACAGGTGTGCATCACCACACTTACTTTTTGTATTTTTAGTAGAGACAGATTTCACGATGTTGGCCAGGCTAGTCTCGAACTCCTGACCTCAAGTGATCCGCCCACCATGGCCTCCCAAAGTGTTGGGATTATAGGCGTGAGCCACCAACCCCGGGCTCATCATTTTCTTTTGAGGGCTTCTTTCTTCCCAGGGCTATGGTCTGGGAGAGGGACCAAGATACCTGTACTTTCTAGTTCATGGCTGGAGGTGGTACAAGCTAGGACAATTGCACACTCTCTTTCTAGTATTTGGATCTTGACCAGAGGATCAAGCAAAAAATCAAGCAAAGAAGGATGCTTTGAAATAATTCTATTTCATCATTTCATCCTAGCCTTATGACCCTGCCTTTTACACTTGCTAGTGGTCCTAGAATCCATCCCCAATAAATATCCTGGTTCCTGCCTATTTCGAAGCCTCTACCCTCTTATTGATTCTATGAGCCCTGATGTCCTTTCCCCTGCAAAAAAATTTTTTTTGAATACGTTAATGTACTAGTCAGTTATTACTAGGATAACATTGCAGACAAATCCCAGTAGTTAAGCAAAAAAGAAAGAACATCAAAAAAAAAAATTGTATTTTTCTAACTCACAGTTCTGTTGTTCAACCAGAGTGGGTCTGCCTCAGTCTTCAGGTCTGGTTTAAGTCTGTGGTCTATATTTCACATTCAAAGACAGCAATTACTCAGGGCATGCTCATCTCATGATAAACAGAAGAGGCCAAAGAAAACCACACAAGCACAGTTTAAAATCTTGGGTTGGGGCCGGGTGCCGTGACTCACACCTGTAATCCCAGCACTT